AGCCAAAACGAGTCTTTTGCAGAAGTGGCAGGCCATCAGCCAGTTTAATCTGACCTACGCACAACAACTCGTAGAATAAATTGGCACCGATAAGCATATCAATTTGCTGTAGCTTGAAGAACACCGGATCAGCTAAGCGGACATTGCTTGGTATATTCCAATGAGATATGTCAACCGTGAAATTTGGTTGGTTATCAGTAATGGAAGGAGCGACCAAAGCAGTAATATTTGCGGAATAGTCAGTGACCAATGATTGCAAGCATAAGTGCACAGTGCAACCATCAGACTTGAAACTGACGTCACCAAGACCAGACACAGAGGCCGACGACTTGGTCTTTCGAAGTTGGAGCCGGTGAGCGAATCGCGAAGTTATAATGTGCAACTGTGATCCGGAATCGAGCAGTGCACGGCAGGGTACCCAAGTCCCAGCGCGATTTTGAATGCAGGGCAGGCAATGAAGCAAGCGATGATGGCGAAACAGCTGCGAGAGCGCAACGTGGCAGTAAAGATGAAGACAGCCGCGACTGTAAGTCAGAAGCGGACGATTGCTCAGGCATCAAATTTACGGCAGCTGAATTATTAAAATGCAATAAACTGTGATGTTTGGCACCACAGGTTCTGCACGATCCAGAATTGCAAGTTCTCATTCTGTGTCCTTTTCTAAGACAATTTATACACAGCTCTCTGTGGCGTTTTGCTTCCTTTAAACGAAGTACAGGCGACAAATTACCAAAAAGTGGGCAACTGTATATTTCGTGTGCATTATTGTCACAAAACAGACAACCATTTGCGGATGGGTTAGTGGCGACAAACGAGCGTTTGGTGTTAGTGTTTTTATTCTTTCCCACCTGATAATTCGACGAATATGATGCCAATGCGGCTATGGGGCGGCTTCCTCCCACTTTGCTTGTGTCGCAGCATCCACCTTGCCCAAAATTGTCTGAACGACGATGCTGCCAGCTACATCTTGCATATTGCCCAAGCTCAAAAGTGCACGCATATTTGCGTTGACTTTGTTGGACAACTCTCGCAGCTTGCTTGTAGTTTCAGCCTTTTTAATGCCCAAAATTTCGGAGATGTGTGCCTGGAAAATAAGACGCTTATTGTTAAACCGCTTGTCGAGTACCTCTAACGCCACTGAATAATTTGCACCACTTATCTCAAGTGCACGAATCGTGTCCAACTCAGATCCTCTTAAGCTTGACCTCAAATGCTGCAACTTTTCCACGTCGGAGAGATCTGGATCCTTCGAGATCACTGATATGAACATCGAAGCGAAATCTGCATATTCAGTATATCCACCACTGAACGTAGGCTACTTAAGCTCAGGCGAATGAGACCGATTTATCACAATAGTAGACTGATCATCTTGCCGAAGCGTCGAACACCACGGCGCGCCAGATTGCATCCTTTGTATTGCATTTAGCAGGCGGCCCTCCAAGCAGACCACCAGCTCAGCAAAGTTGCAGCGCATACTGCTGCCAATCTCGTCAAAGTCCAGCTCCTCTAATTTGTCATGCACCAAATTAAAAGCTTCACACGGCTGCTTATTGGCGGTACAGTAGGCACTTTGAACTTATACTTTTGCACTTATGTATGTACTTGAATCTTTTTTGTGTACATGAACTCAATTAAGTCCACTTTTGTTTTTTAACGCGATTAAGCAAGGTTTTGTGGAATTATTAATCAATTAAGTCCACTTTTGTTTTTTAACGCGATTAAGCAAGGTTTTGTGGAATTATTAATCACGTCGGGGTCACCAAATGTATAATCATAAGCTTTTTTATGATTCCAAATATGCGAAATTATGTTGGCGAAATAATTGCAAAATAAGCGAAAACGAAAGTTTTCAATTTAAAAGAGGTTCACAAATGTTTATTTTGCATAGGTAGCAATCACCCACTACGATTTTGTGTGTTTTGCGCGATTTACAAAGTTTATGCTGGTAGACGGAAAGCTAAGTTTCTCCGTACCAGATGCGATAACGAAAACGAAACTTAATTGCAGAGTTAGCGACAATAACTAGTACATATGTGGCGGCTGCGCAGCAGCCTATGCAAATTTATGGCAAGCAACAAAAGGAAACGTTAAGTGCTCAGCTTGCTATGGAAAGCAAGTGACAAGAAAACGAGCACTTTGTATTGAGTTATTTACGTTACTTATTAACTATGATGTGCTGCCGGTTTTGGCTGTTTTTGGCCGGATGACCAAACAACCCCACTAATTCAAGCTCCAAGACCTATTTAAAACAAGATAGAACGCTACAGTCGAGCAAGCCCGACAGTAAAATAGCCTGTACTCTCCACAAAAAAGAAAAATTAAAAAAAAAAAATTAAAAAAAATTAAATTATTAAAAAAAATGAATTAATTAATTAAATTAAATTAGAATACATGTTTCTGTTCAGTTTTAACAGCATACATTTACATCACGTACCTATGCGTGTTTATATGCGTGTATGTATGCAGCACAAAGTTGAACCAAAGCAGCAACAAGGCTATACTAGTTTTGTGCGAATGTATGTAACACACAGTAGGAGGCGTGGCAGACCCCACAAAATATATATATTATTGATCAGGGTGACAAGCCGAGTCGATATAGCCATGTCCGTCTGTTCGTCCATCCGTCCGTCTGTATGAGCGCAAGGATCTCAGAAGCTACAAGAGCTAGAATAACCAAACTCGGTATCCAGATTCCCATAAGCCCTAGGCAGGTTATTTTTATAGCCTGTACCCAAAGGGTGAAAGGCTATACTAGTTTTGTGCGCATGTATGTAACACACAGAAGGAGGCGTGGCAGACCCCACAAAGTATATATATTCTTGATCAGGATGAGAAGACGAGTCGATATAGCCATGTCCGTCTGTCCGTCTGTCCGTCTGACCGTCTGTCCGTCTGTCTGTATGAGCGCAAGGATCTCAGTAAGTACAAGAGCTAGGATAACCAAAATTGGTATCAAGGTTCCTATAAGCCCTAGGCAGAACGAGTTTGTTTATTTTTTCTGATACACTCCCCCGCTCCCCCGCAATTCGTATTTTTTCTTATAACTTCCGTAATTCTCGGAATTTTAAAATCAATTTTGGTAGGTACATCCAGTTAGTACTAATGTGTCCGTGTGCCAAATTTCATCATGATTGGTCAATTCTGAAGAAAGTTATAGCCATAAGTAAAATCGCTGCTCATGCGCTGCCTGCTCCTCTGTCGGCAGCGCTGCCCGCAGCTGTTGTTGTTGTTTCTGCTTTTGTTCAACTTTGTGCTGCATACATACACGCATATAAACACGCATAGGTACGTGATGTAAATGTATGCTGTTTAAACTGAACATAAACATGTATTCTAATTTAATTTAATTTAATTAATTATTTTAATTAATTAATTCATTCTTTTTTTTAATAATTTAATTTTTTTTAATTTTTTTTTTTTATTTTTATTTTTATTTTTAATTTTTCCTTTTTGTGGAGAGTACAGGCTATTTTACTGTCGGGCTTGCTCGACTGTAGCGTTCTATCTTGTTTTATTCTGAGTTTGCTCGACTTTAGAATTCTTTTCTTGTTTTCATTCGGGGCAGCAAAAGATCCTCAGAAGACGCATTTAAGCAGTATATATTGCAGAAAATTTAAGTAAAAATCGTAAATGAATATAATATTATGTTGATATCGGAAAAAGTATACGCCTTCGCCAGTTATATTAGAAAGCACATGCCAAGTTGTAATCGAAGTCTAGATAAATTTAATAAAAACACTCGAATTGGCATGCTTCTAACATGACTGTTGAAATTGATGGTAATTTGGAGTCTTGATTGAAAACGGTACTGTCGAGCGAGCCCGACAGTGAAATACCCTATACCCAGACAAACTCCTGGCATTGAGTTATATGCACCCAAAGCAGAAGCAAAGAAGACGTAGTTGATGCTGCAGTTTGTGGGCGTAGTACTGGATTGAAATTGTTTCGCAAATAACTTTTCTTAGAATTAACCGATTTGGATGAAATTTTAAAGTAAAGTAAATAATAATAATATATTGATTACGTGTGCCAAGTTTTGTTTACTTTGCTTTTAAAATGTGGACAGTATTGAGAAGAGTGGGGAGGGCGGAGGACTTGAATATGTATATGTTTATAAAAGTATATTAGTATTACTATTATAATTAAAAATCAAACAAATACATAGTTTAAAACACTGAAAATCCACCCACATTTTTTTCTATTAATTTCTAATAACATAAATTGTATATGTGCCAATTTTGACGACGATACCTTCTTTTTTGGACTTTATGCCAACAAAAACGGACTTCTGGACCATATTGCCGTGTCTAAATCTTACCAATTATTGCAGCCCAGTATAAAATGTCAAACTACCCCACATATGTATGTACATACTTGTACTTATGTTTGTGTCCTCATGTTAAGATTCATATTAATTGATTAAATGTAAAAGTTGTTGTAGCCAAGCTCTGCCCCCAGCTCTTATTGTTATTGCTGCTTTGCCTGACTTCTGCACTGCACAAAGACACGCACACAAATACACATAGTCAAAATTGTCTAACTAGTTCGTAGATATACAGCATCAGAAAAAAACACAAATATACTAATCATACTAATTTGATAACTGAAAGTTTAGATGCTTAGATTTAAACTAGAAGACACACAAGCCGGATATAATTGCTAAACAAAGAAAAAATATTCTAAGAATTACAGGAGTTATGGAAATTCCCTAATATTGGAAAGGGCGGGGTCGCAACCGGAAAAAATACAAACTTGTACTCAGGAGAATAGGAATATGCTTCTAGCTCATACACTGATACCTCGTAATACAGACTGAGGGCCGCATTAGTACATGCCGAACTACAGGGTTGCTTCTAAAGCAATGCTTCAGCCCATTGAGAAGTGAGCGTCATATGTATGTACATACGTATGTATGTATGTATACTCACAATGAGTCACGCAACTGGTTGCTGCTTCTCTTGAACGGGCGGTCGGTCGGTTGTCAGTATTTTCTCAACTTCCGACATTGTTAGTTGTGAACTGAGTGGCGAATATACATACATATGTCTATACCTTTGTGCGCATTAATTCAAGCATAAAAAATCATCTCACTTGCCGCATCAAAATGTGTAAATGTCTCGCAGGAAACGTAGCGTGCTGGTTAGTTAAACTAAATCTATAATTTAAAAATATTAATCTCGCGATATTAAGCCAACTTATGCTTATGAGAATGCATAGATACATTAATATGCACGTATGTAGATGCTACATAGATGTACATACGTAAGTATGTATTCGCACATTTATAATGTCTGTTTGTGAACGAAAAAACGTACAATCTCAATTTAACCTCATTTAGAGTATGTGTGCATGACGATCTAAGAAGATAATTGGATAATTACTTCATATGCGTGTATATGCATACGTATGTACTTTCTATATACATACATACATACATATATAGGCATGTATAGATACAATATGGAAATATATCAATATTCTTATAAATAGCTATAATATACATACATACATACATACATATGTATGTATATTATAGCTACATATGTACATACATATGTATGTATATAAAAACAAACATGCATTACGAAATATGGGAACAAAATTAATACTTAAACATGTACATATGTAAATATTTATGTATACTGTCGCGCAATTGTGGCGAGAAGTAACGTGGAGCCAGGCTGTTTATTGAGTATGCGTTGTTACTTTGTTTTTAGGGGAGTGTCAATTGTTCATGTGTTGGTACATATGTATGTATATGTATGCTTTATTTTTGCACGCATACATCTCTATATATAAAACAGTTTGTCCTGACTGACTGACTGACTGACTGATTGGCAATCAACGCACAGCCCAAACGGTAAGAGCTAGGAAGCTGAAATTTGGACACAAGATCCCTCTTATAGTGAAAGTGAGCACTAAGAAGGGGTTTCGGAAAATTCGAGCTCCAAAGGGGGGAAAACGAGCTCCAACGTTTGTATGAAAAATCTACAAAATCCGATTAACTTCAAACTTAGTTTGTCTATTCTCACAAAGAATACAAAAATAACTGTATACTTGGTTTTTCACCATTTTTCCTGGGGCATGAAAAATAGGGGGTTTTCCGTGGAAAAATTGAAACACAATCAACACCCCACAGCCCAAACGGTAAAAGCTAGGAAACTGAAATTTGGGCTCAAGTATCCTATCATGGTGTAGATGCGCACTAAGAAGGGATTTTGGAAAATTCGAGCTCCAAAGGGGGGAAAAGTAGCTCCAAAGTTTGTTTGAAAATTCTGCATTTCTGAATCGATCAACTTTAAATTTGGTTTTTATAATCTATAAAAGAATACAAACAAAACTGCATACTTAGATTTTCGAAATTTGTGTTGGAGCTTGAATTATTGGGGTTTTAATATTTATTCATTTTTTCAAATGAGAAGTTTGTGTTATAAATTTTGTCCGATCGATTTCAAATTTGGGTAATATAATCTACGTAACTAAAATTACAACTTTGCACTTAACGATTTTTAAAATATGCATTTTACAAATGCAGGTAGAACAAACAATACAAAATATCAAACAGTTGGGGACAACTAAGTATACATACACACACACACACATACATACATACAAGCAGCTGTTCGTGTAGTTGCGTGCAAACGGTTGAAGTAGCCAAAGCAAAATGTGAGACACTAATGTGTGAATGTTCATTTGTACACATGTATGTACATACATATGTATGTATAAAAGTACATTCGTCTTGCACTGACAGGGCAAGAAATGTTAATTAATTAAAAATTATTACAATTATAACATAAACATTTTGATGTTATTTTTTCTTTGTTTAGTACATTTGGCATAAGGGGTTTTTAGGACAACGGACTACAAGGGCGTACGCAGGTTGGGCAGGGGGGACATTGCTCCCCTTAGAAAGAATTTCGCATTATGAATTACACCAGCACCATATGTATTACATACGTACATACATATGTACATACGTCTGTATGTATAGTATGTACATATGTACATCAATAAGTATGTATGTACGTACATACATTCTTATATACATATATAGGTTTGTATGTATGCAGTGGGCCATCGAACACTGTTGTTTAATTGTAATAAATAGTGTTCTATGTTTTCAAATCAAAATTTTTAAAACAACAACAACAACAAGTTATTGGCTCGCAAATCTTCTTTCGTTTTGATAATTTACGGCTGTTAATTGCATACGCAAAATGCCAAAAGTTTACAGTTACCGTACACATGCAAATACATTTGTATGTATTTATGTACATATATGTATATGTATATGTATGTGTACAGTGAATAATCGAATACAGTATTATAATCAATAACTCTCAAACGTTTTTTTTCGTTGTATTTGTATTCGACATGTATTACGATATATTAACACAAGTATCGATATTTTCGATATATCGCATTTAATTTTATTATTGGGGTTTTAATATTTATTCACTTTTTCAAATGAATAGTTTGTGTTATAAATTTTGTCCGATCGATTTCAAATTTGGGTAATGTTATCAACATAACTATATCAACAAATTGGCATTCAACGATTAAAATATAGCAATATGTTTTTTACTTGCCATATGTATATCAAATATCAAATAGTTGGGGATATCCCATACACACACTCACACACAACAAGCAACAGTTCGTGTCTATGTGTGCCCATGCATACATACATATGTACAAGCATATGTATGTATGCCTGTATATGTATGTAGCATGTACATACAAAACAACAACAACAACTTCAAGTTGTTGGCTCGCACATCTTTCGTTTTGACCATTTAATGTTAATTGCAAAGGCAAAACGCCAAAAGTTTACAGTTACCGTCGCTAGGCAACGACTGCGTAAGCGATAGTAAAGCAGAGACCGAATAACGGAGCTACGTATATTCTGCTTCGCATTGCGGGCAGATGTATGTATGTATGTATATGATTTGTTCTTATTGATGTCAATAAATAATTCGATTTTGTTATTTAAATATTCAGCTTATTGCATTCAAACTTCGATATTTTGATGGTATCGGTGGCTTCAACTATGGAAAGTTTTACTCTAGCAAATTGAGATGAGAATTGTTAGTGCTTATTGATCGTGGCTCATCGCTGCACGGCATTGACACGAGTGCCGTGTTTCATATTCCGAGTTTGTGCGTGACCGTATTGACTCAATATGGCACAAAAGACTCAAATGTGAATTTAAAATTAGGATAAACCCTTATAATTATTCTCCTTTTTTGCACATAGTCTATCTTAAAACGTTGCGTTATCTCTATATATAAAACAGTTTGTCCTGACTAATTGGTGATCAACGCACAGCCCAAACGGTAAAATATGAAATTTGGACTCAAGTATCCTTTCATAGTATCCATCATAGTGTAGGAGCACACTAAGAAAGGCTTTTGGAAAATTCTAGCTCCAACGGGGGGAAAACGAGCTTTAAAAAATATTAGTTGTAGTGGTCATGTTCGTTGAACGAAATAGTTTGGCAAGAACAAAAATGTAACGGACTACTGAACAATTTTTTGTCAAGAACAGAATGTTCATTTAAATACCTTAAATGCCTTCCTACTGGTAACTTATAAGGTGAAAACATATGGGTAGGTTATGCACACACAAAATAAATACAATTGGAAACATTATATTGAGCCGGGTTAAGACGGGCAATACCTGCTAGTATATACATATGAGTGCACGCAAATCCCATTGTACATATGTATGTATGTATTTACTTACATTTATGAGCATAATAACATATGAATACATATGTATGTATGTATGTACATCCACAAAGGAAGGTTGGACTATCGCTAAAAGCGCCTTGCAGGTAAATTCATACACAAGGACCAAGGGCGTAACCTTAAGATTCCGTATTTTGTGAACCATGCTTTGTGTTTAGAATTTCGGTATGTACATCTCTATATCTATCTCCATATATATAAAACAGTTTGTCCTGACTGACTGATTGGTGATCAACGTACAGCCCAAACGGTAAAAGCTAGGAAGCTGAAATTTGGACTTAAGTATCCTTTCATAGTATAGGTGCCCACTAAGACGGGATTTTGCAAAGGGGGGAAATCGAGCTTCAAATTTGTATGAAAAATCTACAATTTTCATCTGTTTAACTTTAAACTTAGTTTGTTTACTCTCAGAAAAATTCCAAGAAAAACTGTATACTTGGTTTTTTTAAATTTTTTTTGGGGACTGAAATATGGGAGTTTTCCTGTAAAAAAAAATGGGGCACAAAAGGAAACCGCGTCAACAGCCCACAGCCCACTAAGAAGGGATTTTGGAAAATTCAAGCTCCAAAGGGGGGAAAATGAGCTCCAAAGTTTGTTTGAAAATTCTGCATTTCTGCACCGATCAACTTTAAATTTGATTTTTATAATCTAAAAAAGAATACAAACAAAACAAACATTTTCGAAATTTGTGGTGGAGCTTGAATTATTGGGGTTTTAATATTTATTCACCTTTTCAAATGAAAAGTTTGTGTTATAAATTTTTTCCGATCGATTTCAAATTGGGGACTGTAATCTACGTAACTAAATCTATAACTTTGCGTTCAAGGATTTTCAAAATATGCATTCTAAAAATGCAGGCAGAACAAACAATACAAAATATCAAACAGTTGGGGACAACTAAGTATACATTCACACACACACACACACATGCAAGCAGCTGTTCGTGTAATTGCGTGCAAACGATTGAAATAGCCAAAGAAAAATGTATACACATCTATGTACATATACACATCTATGTATGTATGTATGAATGTTCATTCGTCTTGCACTGACAGAGCAAGAAATGTTAATTAATTAAAAATTATTTAACATTTTTAAAAGTAATTTTTTCTTTGTTTAGTACATTTGGCATTACGGTTTTCATTAGTAACTTTATGCAGCAACAACAAATTACAAAGAACGCAAATATCAAATAGTTGGGGACATCATCACTCACACACAGAACAAGCAACAGTTCGTGTCTATGTATGAAAAAGTAAAGAGAAACATGCATGCATATATGTATACACACATATGTACATATGTATGTATGCCTGTGTACGTACATATATAGCATGTATGTACATTCGTATGTATGTATACATTGGACAATCGAGCACTGTTGTT